GTGTCGTCAGAATGGTACCCCGACTGGTAGCCGCTCGTCTGGTTTGAGCCTTCGGATGCCACAGACTCCTTGCTTTTGCTGGGCATCAGTCCACTGTGGAAGAGATGGCATTCAAATAAGTTGGCAGAGAGAAGGCAGTTCTTGTGCATCTTATCCCAACCCCATCCCCTACCCGCTGTGGGCTGTCAGTTTCCTGGAGACATGGCCCATCCCTCCCACTTGTTAATCAACATAGCAGGCTTACTCAGACAATGTCTATTTTCAGGTACTAGGATGAAATCTGAGTTTCAGATAAGTCCTCTTATTCGGGTCCAAGTCTTTCAAGCCTGAGATGAGATGAAAGGCTGTTCTCTTGGATTATGCAAAGGCTCCAACCAATGGAACCTTTTTATGGCCTTGCAGACTGACAAGTTTGTGTACAAGAAAAGGAGCCAGAGAGACTCTTTCATGACGTGGGAGGAAACTGGGATGTTCTGAAAGTCCAATGGTACTTGCATACAGTGCCAAGTAGGGGATCACAAGGCCCGTGCATGGTGTTAATAAAATTCTTGAGCAACTTTAAACTTTACTAAGCTGAAGCGTGTGTGTACAATCAAGCTAGACATGTCAAAAACTGCTTTTTACTCATCAAAACCACATTCTTTGGAAGCATGGAGGACGGGATCACTCGGCAGCAACGAGAGAATGTTTTCAATGGTGTGGAATTGTGACCGACGGTAATCATGTCAAAGCTTAGAAAAAAGCTTAAAAAGGCCTTTTGTAGCTGGGTGTAGGCTGTGTGGAGTGTAAGTCATTCTGAAGTACAGTGATTTTCCCCCTTACTAGGTGTTTTACCAATCTATGCATGTTACAAACCAAAAAAAAAAAGAAAGGACTTTATTAACTCTATGTTCATATATAGTTTAAAAGTTATTTCAAATAACTAGAAACGCATCTTTTCAATCCAACCTCAACAAAATGGACTTAGTGTCTCAGACAATGGAATGGTACATAGTCATTGCTAAGCAAATAAAATACTTTGAATTGGTGAATAAAACATATAATTGGCTCTCACGATTTGTCATCATGGGCCTAGGGCAAATGATAAAATCACACAATACCACATTTTAATTTTTTTTTTCTTAACATGAGCATCACTCAATAATGCAAAGGGGCTCCCATTTTATCCAACAGTTAGATTGTAAGTAGATCAAAATCTTCTCAATTCATACCTAGAGTGAAATTGTCAGCAAATAAATAACCATTCTGCATCCCACTATTCTTATAAGTATAGAGTTTCTTATTTATTTATTAAGTTAAAAGCAGGTGGTGGTGGTGTAGTTGTAAGTCATGTCCAGCTCTTGCAACCCCAAAGACTATAGCCTGCCAGGCTCTTCTGTCCATGAGATTGTCTAGGCAAGAATACTAGAGTGGGTTGCCATTTCCTTCTCCAGAGTATCTTCCAGACCCAGGGATTGAAGCCAGGTCTCCTGAACTGTAAGCAAATTCTTTACTGATTGAACTACCAGGGAAGCTAAAGGAAGCCAACTGTAAAAAGCAAGTACGTCTATTCAAAGCAACTACAAACTCCTATAGAACCATGTGGAAGACATTATATTCAAAATCAAATTCACTGTTTTCCCCACAATTAAATACTCAATAATTCAGCCAACAGTATTTAAATATCCTAAGCAAGTAGACAGTAGTTTACTTATATATCATACGTCTTAAGGACAGGTGCACCCATTTCTGTTCAGGTCTGAAAATTCTTCACTATAGCGTCCACAAAGATTTTAACTATCTCAAGAGTTTTATTAAAGATCAAGCCAATGACCTCTTTGTCACTTAGCCAATATCACACAAACCACTGACCACAGCAAATATGCTCATAAATTCCTTAGTATACATAAAATCTGGTAAAAAACAAAACAAAAATCTTTCTCTGCTAGCACACACCAAGGGCTTAATTTCCTGTGAAAGTCCATTTAAAAGTATAATATAACAGAGGGGCCTAGATGAGCCCCCTTTCCTTTGAATCTTACTTCTGAGGTCCAGGGCTGGACTGAAGACAATAATAGCAGACTCAGTGGTCAGCTGCCTACTACTTGACTTCCTGATTGCCTGCGATTCCTCCACTAAGCTCTCAGCATATCGCTGAGTGTTTCACATCTTTCTGGCCATCTCCTAGGCAAGTTATCTAGAAAACGTCCACGGAGCAACCATTCCATGAAAGATGGGCAGAGGAAACACTCCCAGATTTCACTGGGTTCAGTAAAAGATGCTGAACCCAAAAGACTCTGGAAACCACCTTCTCCTGCTATATGTAATACAGGATTAATGGGTAGAGGTGGGCTGAATCTCATGATCTCTTATTTCTGGCCCACAGAGTTGGAGCTGTAGTTTGAGAATCATGAGATATTACATCTATTTCCAAGTTTACCATGGACTACACAGACTTGGGAAAGCCACCAATATATTTCTATGTCCCTGTTTCCCCATCTTTAAGATGTACAGGCCAAAGCTTTCCTTCCCTCACTCGCAAAGATATCTGGAGGATGAATGAGGTGATCAGTGGTGGGTGGTAAAGATCTTAGAAAGAGTGATGATCCACCAACCAAAGCTTGTTTTCCTCCATTGAATTCCAAAGACTACCAGTTTCTTTCAAGAGTCCAGAGGACAGCACCTGTCAGACAGCACATCACATGTCCCTTAGGAATGCTTCTTCCCCTACCATGGGACTTTGGGTGAGTCTGAGTGATTTTGTGAAAATCAACCCAAGTGGAGAGAAGCAGTCTTTTTCACAGGAAGGGACAGCAAACTCAGTCTTCACTTGAACCCCACTGTACTTCCCACCCTAGCAGCCTTCTAGATATATTGCATATTTCTTGTGTTTTCTGTGACCAAGTGAAGAGAGGACTCAATTGGGCAAAGGAGGATAATGGAAACCAAGTCTTCCCCCACTGCCCAAGGAGGCTGATTCTTCCTCTACAAAGAGAGAATGAGGTTCACCAGTGACAGCCTCACTCAGGGAACCCCACAGGAAAGAGGACACGATGTATTAAAAATAAGGAGACTGAAAAGCCTACTTCTCCTAAATCCAGCCCCGAAAAGTGGTAGTTCTACCAAATTACTGGTACCATAGTCAATCATTCATTCATTCACTCATTCAAGAACCCTCTACTGAGACGCCCATGTGCCAGGCACTGTGTCAAATGACCCTCAACCACTGTCTCATGGCATCTCCATGGTACCTCTCTAGGTGGGTATCATTAGCCCAACTTCAGATGTGGAACTAAGACATAGAAAGGTTAAGGAACTTGTCCAAAATCACATAACTAGACTACCTGGATTATCATCCTGAGGGCAATGAGCAGCCACTGAAGAATTTTAAGCATGAGATTGACAAAGTCAGATACACCCTTTAGAAAGATGACTCTGGGTTCAGGAAGGTAAGACCAGAGATCATGAGATCCATTAGGGATCCGTTCCACTTATCTAGGAGAAGGAAGGGCAGCTTGACCAAAACGTGATGCCCACAGGTCTGGAGACAGATTCCAGGGGTATTTGGGTTGTAGCATCAAGTAGAGTTAGGGAGCTTGGGCAATAATGCGGCTGACTTAGAAAGGCCACTTCCTTGATTTCTGAGCCCAATAATTCCAAACATTGCTCAGGCAGTTCCAGTTGACAAGGCATTTTCATATACATTGTTGCATCTGTTCTTAACAATCTACACAGTAGGTTTTTCTTATTTCTTATTTGGAAAAGAGGAAGTGATGGCTTAGGGAGGAAATAACTAGAACTGGAGCTCAAACTTAGGTTTCTAGAGCCCATGCAGGGTTGTTTTTGTTTNGACTGTAGCCCTCCAGACTCTTCTGTCCATGGGGATTCTCCAGGCAAGAATACTGGAGTGGGTTGCCATGCCCTCCTCCAGGGAATCTTCCCAACCCAGGCCTCCTGCATTGTAGGCAGATTCTTTATCATCTGAGCCACCAGGGAAACCCAATTCTATCTGACTCTAAAATCTGGATCTTTAACCACAATATTGTATTCTTCCAGGTAATTGCTCTGAGTCTCATATTTAACATTTACATCAAAAGATAATAGTATCTACTTTGCCTAACTCTGGCAAAACCTGGTAAGAAAAAGTTCTTTCAAAAATGCCAGAAGTTCTTGACACAGATGGAATGGACAGCTTACTAGCTGGCTCCCACCCACTCTGAGCTTTCCTCTCTCCCACGGCAGCACCCCTGCTGCCCGCCCCCCGTGAAAGTCTACAGGGCCCACTGACCAGGGCGGCTCCCCACCTGCCGTCTGGCGCCCTGGCCACAGGCTAGAGCTCCATTCCCCCCCATCCCGAGCTTCGAGGCCCCCCCTGCAGCCTGTGCACGCTCAAGCGGGCAGGCTGGGCCTACATGGTCAGGGATGCAGTTATAGGAGGAAAACACCCAAAGGGATGGGAACGGGAACAAAGTGAAGTGAAGTAGTCCCAGGCTTATGAAAAGGCAATTTTAATATCATATTGTAGAAACCATATCAACTCTTTCCTCATGCACAGGTGCTGGGAAAGAATAAAAAGAAAGCTGCCTTTGGAACCCTTCTACAAATCAGGAAAATACTGCAGCGCATGTGTTTTAAATAAGCCCAGAAGTCCCATTATGCAAATAAAATGCTGAAAATCAGACTTGGGAGGGGCTTCTGAAGATGTGCTGTCCAGTCTAATTCAGGACGCATCCCCACGGCAACTGTATCCCAGCCAGAGAGGCAAAAGTGTGCTTTCATAAACGCATAGAACTCTTCCTTCCTGAAGCTTTCCTAAGCTGTTTAATTCACATTAATAAAAGAGTACATGGGGATAATTTAAATACAGATGTCTTTGTAAAATCGGTCTCTTTTTCTGGAGATTAACAAACTATGGCATTCCAGCTATTTGCAGCTGCAGGGCTTAGGATTTTGAAAGGAAGAGCTTCGGCCCGCAATGTGGACCACAGATGGGAAGAGGTTCACCTCAACGCCCTTCAAGGGGGACCTCTCAGAGCCAAGGGTGAACGCGCAAGTGAGAAGCAGCAACTTCATACAACGTCCTTCCTCCACCCGCCTCCCCAGGATGACCTTGAAGCCCCTTCCCCCCAGGGGATGTTGACCTTAGACCATACCTGATTCCTGCTGTGTTGTCATAATGGAATTTGGGGTCACATACTTCCTCTTCCTCCATACAGGAAACAGGTGAGGTAGGCAGAGAGAGTCCCGAATCCTCTTCCATGCTCAAAGTCTCTGATATGGGAAGAACAATGTAGTCTTTGCCATCCTGAAACAACAAACAGACAGGGCTATTGTTATGGCTTCAGTCCTTCAAGAGCCTGTACATGAAAAACAAAGCCCATGGGGGCTTCTTGTTTATGGGGACGTGGCTTTCATATCTGAAGGTAGAACTTTAAGACAACTTTAAAAATGGCTTGTCAAAAACACAAGGGCACTTGAAAGGGATGTGTATGCGAGAGTATACTTAAGGAACTAACGGAACACGAGATGGGCAAGGGGGCAACAGAGAAGTCCAGCTACAATGAAGACGAAGCAGGCTGTGGTTACAGATGCAGCAACGGAACAGGCAGAGCTCTGCAGGGCTGAGAAATCATTTCTTCACAAAGTCCCATCTGCACCAGCCAGGTCCTTTAAAGGGCATGTCATCCAATTTTAGCCTCGACACTTCAAGGCAACAGAAAAACTGATGACAGTCTAAAGAAAAGCAATATACGTGCAGGAAAATGGGTCTTCTGAGAAAAGGTTACACAGCTTAACATTATTTCATTGAGAGAAAGAAATAAAGGGCAATTTGATACTTCTCAATGTTTGGGAGGTTTATTGATAAAGACAGACTTGACCCGTTGTCCCCCAGCTGTTCAGAAGAAAAGTAGGAGGAAACTGGCTTCCATTCACTGTGGTAAGAGGTGCTGACTGGAGAGTACATAACTTTCTAAAGGTAAAGACTATAATAAAATCCTCCAATGGAAGTTATGGGGGCCTGGGATTTCATGGAGGGGGAAAAAAAACAAAACATTTATTTTGCAGGATTCAGATGTGTTTTTGCCTGAAGAATGTATTTAAAATTCCTTGAAATTCTGTCCACTGTGGATATTCACCCACTGTTGATATTCACTTAATCAAAGAGGTTTTGTTTTTTTCAATTTCGGGGTTTTGTTTGTTGTCTTTGCTTTTTTTTACTTCGTAAGAGCACCCGAGGACACCAAAATATACATCAGTAAAAATAAAAGTCATCAGCTGCCAGGTTATGGATTAGGATCTCATCTGCTTAAAGGGGCAATTAAGACTTTTAGAAGAGCACTGCTGCTCAGATCTGGAACGTGGCTCCTTATTCAGCGGCTGAGAGGACCGCGTGGAGGCCATGCAAAGGCAGCAAAACGGCCCTGGACACCTAAGTCCTCTCTGCAGAAGCTTCTTGCATGGAGGTCACAGACCTGCTGAGCGTTAGCTTGTAACAGATTTCCCAGGTGCTCCACCAGCTCTGAAAACGTGGGTCTCTGATTGGGATCCCCATGCCAGCAGTCAAGCATGGTCTGGTACCTAGGGAAGCAAAACACTGATGTCATCAACTGTCTCTTTCCTCCTGATCTGATGCTGAAAATAAGCACTTGAATGGGTAAACATTTATAAAGAGTCCACCGTGAGCCAAGATGCTAAATAGGGAGATGAAACTATGTAAGACATAGAGCCCTAGCCTTGGAGAATGAAGTGTGTATGGAGAAGGAAACATCATAAATCAACATGTAGTAAAAACCGACTGGTTCGTACAGATAAACTGCTGTCATTTCAAGAAGGATGACTCTGTGCTTGAGATGATCAAGGAAGACTTCAAGGGAGAAGTAAGACACACACTGGGCCACAAAGGTACACAGGATGGGAAGTCTTCTAGGCAGGGAGAATTTTTGTGAGTAAAGAAGGAGGATAGAGAAATATGTGTAAAATCTTACATTTCTGGTGTGGTGTAATCAGGGGCTCTCATTCTAGTTCCTTCTTTCAGTCGCCTACAAAATTCCTCATCAATCTTTACTCCAGGATATGGAGAAGCACCTGAAAGAAAACAGGAATGGGACACAATTGATTAGATTTTCTCTTGCAGAAATCCCTGAGTCTAATTCACACATATATGAGCCTGACTCACACCTTCTTCACATGTATATCTTTCTTTCCCCCTTTCTTTCTCTCTCTTTTTTTAAAAAGATTTTTATAACCCAAAGCTTCCAAATAAGTTTCATCCAATGAAGGTGAGATATGGGAGTAACTGACTTTTATCATTTGCTTTGCAGTATGGATGGAGGAACAAGGAGAAGGAACTTACCTAAGGAAAATATCTCCCAGAGCAGGACTCCGAAAGACCACACGTCACTCTGAATTGTGTACACTCGGTCAAAAATCGTTTCTGGGGCCATCCACTTCAAAGGGAGGCGAGCCTATAAGGGTAGAAGACAAAGAATGAGAATCCAACTTAGCAAAAACCTGAAGAAAAAACTTCCATTATCCCTGCACACAGCTTCTCAGGCTGGCCCAGAAGAGTTTGGATTCTGCAACTTAATAGATCACGGGGTGCATCTTTGGAACTTACATCTCCTTTTCTGACATAATCTGGGTCTTTATAAATATCCCGGGCCAAGCCAAAGTCACAGATTTTAACCACGTTCTTTTCCGACAAGAGGATGTTCCGTGCTGCCAGGTCCCTGTGGATACACTGCAAAAAGAATTGTGTGCATTAGAGTTCAGCCTCGCTGATCTCTTCTACATCTGTTGTGACCTCATGCTTTAAAAAAAAAAAACCCACATCAGAAAACCAACTGATTAACAAGCACTGGGTTAACATCTTTTATCAACACTTCGGGAAAAAAAAGTCTGAGTTTCACTGAGACACACATCTGCTTATTCCATAAACAGCCTCGGACCCTGGAACTAACTAATTAAGTTATAGCATGCTGATGGAGTCATAAATAGACTTCTCTTGGACACAGTTAAGAATGTGTTTCTGGTCACATCCACACATCCCTTTGGCCTGGCACCATATACGGTTAAAAGGCGTTATTCTGAGGAGGCCCTAGAATGAATGACTGCACGGAAATCAGAGACAAGGGGCTCTCCTTGGTTTGGGGCCCTTTGTTGGCTTCTCCATTTCATATGTAACCAAAGCTGGAAGCAATTCTGAGTGGGGCTCACCCTGATTTCAAAGTGCTGGCTTATCACAGAGGCCAGCGAAGGCACTCACCGCCTCTCGCCCATCAAGGAGGTTCTCTGACGCACACAAAAGAAAAGCCAATTCTCCTCGGCTTTCCTTCTACTCTTTTCTGTCCCTCAGTTTCTCTCTTCTCTGCATCTCCTAACTTCATCTAACTTCCTACACTAAGCAGTTCTATCTCTACTGGACAGATTTGTGACGGAACAAGAGCCTCGGGGAACATTTAGAAATGAATGAAAGGCTCAGATGAGAAACTCTTAGGTCCGTGGAACAGTGATGTGTGAGCAGAGCATGAGGGACCCCACACCTTGCATCTCTATAGCACTTTTCCTCTGAACAAGCAAGGCACAGGGACATATTGTATAACAAGGGGAATATAGCCAGTATTTTGGAATAACTGTAAAGGGAGAAAAAATTCTATAAAAATTTCAAAAAAGTTTTTTACAAAGCACGGTGTATAGTATGATTAGGCAAGCTAGGAGACTCCAAAAAACACAGTCCTTCCTACTTCCTCCCCCACACCCTACCAAAGAGCTTCCTTTTTTGAAGCAACCAGGTGTTATTCAAGAATCAGCTGGTAGATGCAGGGAAAAATGAAAGGATTCTCTCCTCCAACCCCCATTCCCTTCCCTGTGAAAGGAGCCCTGACTAAATGGCAGGCTCTGGCCTTTAAAACATAATAAAATAAAATCGTCAAGAAGGGCAGAAAGCCTTTCTCTTTGCGAAAATCCTCTAAGATTCCACTTCTCTCCCTTCTCCTTGGGAGCAAGAAGACAAGAGTTCCCAGGCAGAAACCTCTGGGATCCTGAGGCTCTGAAAGCTGTGACAAGCTTTAAACCCCAGAAAAAGACACAGCTGAGGGATTTCACTCTAATTTAGAAACAAATAACAAAATAAAAATGTTAAGTCCTTCTTCTCCAAGTAGGCTGCAGCAAATGCATTCTGTCAAGTGATCATTTTTTCTGAAACTTGATTTGAACTTGTCTTGTTTCATGTAAAACCAGCCACTTTACCCTTTCCAGAGTGGTGACTTCAACCTCACTACCTCCACGATGTTTACAACCTTTGGAATGCTTGTGACTTGTCACGTACCCACCTCAGCCTTTGTTCAGCCTACTTTTCTAATTTTAGCTCTTTCAATTGCTCTCTCTAAAGTCTGTCCTTCCTGGTTTCTAATTATACCACTAACAAATACTTCTTGATGGATGGTGATGAATGTAAAAGAAATGAAAAATAGACTCTCTTGCGCCAAGATATCTGCAAGCCTCAGCCCCTCACCTCTTCCAGGCCACTGCTCAAATTCCATGTTTCCCTCAAGCCATGCCCACTTAGTTTAAAATCAGTGCACAGAGAGAAGCAGATGTACATAACACACGGCTCCTACAGACTCTATAATTCTTGCTTATTTTTCTACACAGTACCTACTCCCACCTAAACCACTAGGTCTTTCACTTGCTTCTGTTGTTTGCTCCACCCCACTGGAACATAACCTCCATGCAGGTAGACAGTCTGCTTACTTGCCCACACAGCATCCTTAGTGCTTAGAACAGGGGTCCCCAAACTTTCTGGCACCAGGGATCAGTTTCAGGGAAGACAATTTTTCCATGGACTGGGAGTGGGGGGACGGTTTGGGGATGATTCACGTGCATTACATTTATTGTGCACTTTATTTCTATTACATCAGCTCCACCTCAGATCATTAGGCATTAGACCCCAGAGGGTGGGGACCCCTGGCCTGGAAGACTGCTGGCACTTGGAAGCTATTTATCACATGAGCTCCTAATATCTCTTTAATGAGCAGAAATGGAACCTCCCCAATAACGTCTCTAAACAGTCTCAGGAGTGGTGAATGAATTACAGTTCCAGACAAACATGAATGGCTGGCACTGGACATCTCATTTCCAAATCTGTGATGTAAAGAGATACTCTGTCTCACCTTCCGTGATGCCAAAAACTCCATGCCCTTGGCCACTTGGAAGCTGTAACAGATGAGATGCTCCAAGGTCAAGAAGTCCTTGTACAGATCTTCAGAAACTGTCAGAAGATAGAGGGGCACAGAGATTGGTATTTCAGTCAGAAAGTATTTGTTTCTAAGCTTGATAGAGTAATCTTCATTTTAAAAATCGGGAGTTAAATTTCAGGAAATAGAAGCAGAGAGAAAATGCTTCTCTCTTCTGTACATATGCTGAATCATGGTATATTAATAGCCTTCATCAAACCCTTTAGCAAAATATTGTTTTTTTTTTTCCATTTTAGCCAAATTGGGAGAACAAATCCAGGAGGCAAAATGGAGGTGAAACTGGCATAGATAACAGAGGTAAAAGAGGGCTTTTACAAATTTGCTGTTTTAAAATTGTTTTTTTCATGTACCCAGAGGGATAAACAATAGTTTCATATCAAGAACTCTAAAAATAAAACAACAATCTCCAGGGTCATTGAATCTTTTCTCTCCCAGCTTTGTCCTAGGATAAAGGCTAAAGGTCAAATTATAATCTACAACGGATAACTAAAAATACCAAAAATATATTTATTTCTCTCACTTTCAAGCTGAGAAAATGCTGTAAACACAGTAAATCAGGCCTGTGAGGATGCTTTTTTTCCTTCAAGGATATGAACCAGAGATGACAGGAACATCGAAAGAAAGATAAAGTTATGTAAACTCGTGGTATTTACTTCCGGGCAAGTGGTACAAATAAACACTAAGACATTACTGGGTGTTTCAACATGATCTCTTAACTTTGGTCAGATAAGATAAGACATGGCTTCTCTCCTGGAGACAAATACCAGAGTAAATGAAAACTCAGATGTAATACTAACCTTGTAAGTATTAAAAACACTTGAACCTTTTTCTCAGTGACTTTCTATGTTTAGGGCTAGAGGCCTCTCCATGAATAATGAGTGAAACCTCTTCCTTTTCCAAAAAAATGAAGGCAAAATTCCAGGCCAACACCCTCTCTACTCCAGTGATTCCCTCAAGCTCTTGGGTCTCCCGCTTACCGGCCACCATCTCGTGAGAGAGAAGACGGGGCAGAGACCGCCCCACTCGTGTGCGCTGGGTCACATGAGTTCTAGACCACCTCGCCACCGGCTTTTCTAGACCACATTCTACCTCACACTGCCTGCGTGGCTTCTATGGGAAAGAGGTTAGTTTTATGCTCTGTGGCCTCATGTCAAAGGGAACAGAAGTGGGTTTCTTTCACTATTTCGTAACAGAACTCTTCTATGCTCACATCTCAAGAAGAGCCAGATGTCAAGAAGCCCCATCTCTTCCTCCACGGGGCTGTCTCTGCTCCTTCTGAGGGAAGCAGATATACAGGGTATCCTGAAGCTGGAAGAGGTTCTGGAAGTTAGGCTGGGAGCACAGCTCCACTCATAAAGAGCACTAAAATATCACTGGAAGCATAAGTGGATAAAGAAACAGGTATTTGCCAAGACTCCTCTGAAGAAGTATGGGAGACTTGATAATCCACTTGGGATGGCGTAGAAACAACAGATGCCTACACTGCCTTGGAAACGGTTGGGTGTGATTAACTGAAGGACTTGTGTTGTGCTGCTGAAGCAAACAGCGTGGGGCTGAACCCCTGTGGACAATGGGGAGGCTGGTCAACCACCGCTGTGGTTGTCTCCTTTGCACCAAGCTGCTCCTGCTGATACATGTTGAACCAACTCTTGAAGAGCACTGGTTTGACTGTTGCCAACTGCTTAGGTCTCCCGGAAGACCAAGATTTCTCAGGCTAGCCATGCTCCACTCACAACCTAGCCCACTGCTCCTTTACATCTTCCGCCCTTCCCTTCTGGAGAAACTGAATGGAAGCCTTCTAGAAATTCAGGTCTCTTCCAAATATTAGGTAAGACTTTTCCAGGACAACATTCTTCGTCACATCCCGTCACCTGGGCTGTTCCCACAAGAGCATGGATTCGGCATGGAGGAAGCAATGGCAGGTACCTTCCTCCTCCTCCACATCACTGAGGGACTTCTCCTCAACAAACCCAGAGCTGGCTGAACTCTGGCTGCTGGTGATGCTGTCTAAGCGGCGTTTAGGATCCACGGTGATCTCCCCGACGTATTCTTTCCCCTGCCGGAACTGTGCCCCTTTGGTCTATGAAGAAACAGATGAACAAACTCCTTGAATGCCAGGAAACCTCTAAAATATAAACTACAGAAGCAATTGTAACTATCAGAAGATGAGGGACATCAATTTCAGGATCATGAAATCTCTGGGCTGAAATTTTGGGCCGGTGTGCTACGTAAAACATTTTCTTCCATAAAGCCTGGTTCCTTTTTAACTTAGAGATAAAGGCCTTACTTCCAGTTTCCCTCAGACACACTTCCAACACTAGGGCACTTTGACAGTGAGATTGATACTCGATAGGGTCAAATATGGCCAAGGAAGAGAGAATAATCCTGAGCTGTCCTCCCCTTCTCATTCTTTTTCCTTAATCATCCACCTTTCCCTACTCAGCATCACCTATAATGGGTCAGTAGATTACACTCACAAAAGCTAAACACGAGATGCGTCCTACAGAAGGTGAAAGAGAAAAATACAACAGCCAAGAAAGTAACATGAAAAGATTCCTCAAAAGTTCCTCGAAGAGTTTTACCAAAACAATTCATCTGTACCACTTGAGTTTTCCTCTGCTTTACAATGTGGCCACAGTTGAGGTAGAAAATGACATACCTTGTAGGGGACGAATTCATTTCTCTTGCTTCTTAAGTAAGTCGACAGGTTTCCAAACTTGCAGAATTCCACAATCACCATGAGTGGCCCTGCAGACAGAACAGCATGCCAAGAAGGAAAAATGTGTTTTCACTCATGTTTCTCACCAAGTGTTTAATACATCAATGAGTCAGAAAACATCATAGACAAGGCTACAGCCTTTCACTGGAAGCAGGATCATAGAAATCAGCTGCTTGCCATTCCCTTACATTGTAATTTTTTTCTTTTTCTAACAGGCAATTCCATAGAAGATTAGTCAAAATTTCAGAAGAAAATCCACCCACTTGCTTTTCAACACAGTCACCTGAGCTGATTTCATTTTAGGGGGAACTACTCTTAAATTTGTTTGCTCTCAAATTTGGGAAAAAGTTTACTTCTGTCCTCTGAACACCTTTTACATAGGAAGCAAACTGGATTATAGTGATATGGCACTTTTTAATTCATAGGAAGTTCTAGAATAATCTATGGTTCCCATTAAATGTCCATGGAATATATTTATTTATTTTTTTTAATTTTATTTTATTTTTAAATTTTTTATTAGTTGGAGGCCAATCACTCCACAATATTGCAGTGGTTCTCGTCATACATTGACATGAATCAGCCATGGATTTACATGTATTCCCCATCCTGGTCCCCCCTCCCACCTCCCTCTCCACCCGATCCCTCTGGGTCTTCCCAGTGCACCAGGCCTGAGCACTTGTCTCATGCATCCACCCTGGGCTGGTGATCTATTTCACATGAATATATTTATATCTAGGAATCTGCTAGACTTAAGGAAACCAAGGCCACGGGGGCTGGGTGGTCCCCCAAAGCCAGCAGGGAGGTACACGCTGAAATCCCACAACCAGGGCCATCCACAGACACTCACCCCCGGGCTTGGTACAGGCACCAAGAAGGTTGACCACGTTGAGATGGTGGCCGATATGAATAAGGATCTTGAGTTCAGACATGAGGGCTCGGTGTTCACTGTGTGTTGCTCCTTCTGCAGATACAGAACAAAGAAGGCAACCAAACATGCGGGCCTTACCTTAGGAGGGTGAATGCCACACTGCATGCATCTGTGCACCTTTCCCTCCAGGGATAACATAGCTATGAGCCAATTTACAGACTAGCTACATTAAAAGACAAATATAAGTTGTATTTTATAATTCTAGATCAGATTCTTTAAATGCACCCACAATGCTTGATATTTGAAGGAAGCCATTGTGGGCCTTCTTGCAAAGTGGAGAAATACATCTGCAAAGGAAATCATGCCCAGGTTTTCTCCTTTTACAAAAGTGGATTTTCACATATCAGGTTTACCAAGCTTTTTAGGGCCTGATTATTTCAGGGCTTCCTCATAAGGAAGCAACATCATGTATTAAATATCCTCATGTGTTACGGGCTCTGCTGAAGTTCCCATCAATCTGTGCTGAGCAGGAAACTTAACAAGGGCCAGCTGGCAAAGCCAGTTGGCACATGAGGCTGCTGAGGCTAAGACTGTGAGTTTGATCTGTTCAGACGGGTACACTTCACTGTGATTCACAGACGTGGTCCACACCTCAGACCCTGATGAGCCACCTCATCAGGTGGATGATTACACACCCGCCCTGTCCACAAGGGAGAAGAGGCAAAAGAAGAGAGATGGCTTCAAAATGCACAAGACCTATTGGCAAAGGATCAGCAGCACTGTCTCCATCAGGGAAAGCACATTGCAATTCTAGCGCAGAGCTTTATAGGCATGACCTCCCCAGATGAAAATGGGAAGACCAGAATACCATTACTATCAAGCTTAACAATTGTTTGCTGTCATTGTTTAGTTGCTAAGTTATGTCCAACTCTTTTGCAACCCCATGGACTGTAGCCCGCCAGGTTCCTCTGTCCATGGGATTTCCCAGGCAAGAATACTGGAGTGGATTCCCATTTCCTTCTCCAGGGGATCTTCCTGACCCAGGAATCAAACCCTTGTCTCCTGCATTAGCAGGTGGATCCTTTACCTCTAAGATACCAGGGAAGCCCCTAACAATTGCTTATGAAACTTTTAATTCTTAAAATGTCACCCATAATCCTTTTTTCCCCAGCACAACCATTCTTTTGCATATTATCGTTTATATACTCCGATTCTAGGGAACATGGCTACTATTTTTACTTCTTAGATCAAATTTCTTTTTTTTGCTTCTTGATTGTCTATAGTTATCTTGTTAATGCACCACAGTACACTAAGAAGCAATTTTGAAGTAACCTAGCTTTTATTTTCCTATGGCCCAGCAACTAAATATACGTAGAGAGAGAGTTGTAAAAGCTTTTTCTTGTATGAGGGCTCTCAGGCAAGGTGGGGCAGTAGGGTAGCTGAAATCTACCCCAACTTTGCCTGCCAGGCCATGGACTCTGGCATGAGAAGAACTTTTTATCCAGTTTGCCCAAAGGCATTAAATAGTCTGGCTGCAAGTTTGTCTAGTGGGGCCATCTAGCCACAAAGCCACTGATAAAAAGCCTTCATCGCATTTAAAGGATGGGATGAAACAGATAGAGGGACATATCGCCACATAGTTTTGCTTTTACCTTTCAACATTTTGACAGCCACTGTCTTGCAGGTTGCTGTCTTGTCAATTCCAAAGGCATCTGCTTCAATCACTTGTCCAAAGGCACCACGACCAAGAGGCTTACCTAGAGTCAACAACAAACAGACGTGGACTGTATCACTACCGAAACCACAGGCAGAGATTCTGACTTGACGGGATGGCCATACATCCTAGTTTCATGGACGGTCCTGGTAACCCCCTTGTCCTGGCTTAGTGATTTAATACCTCCCTCTTGCCTGGTGGTTCTGATGGTAAAGAATCTGCCTGCAATGCGGGAGACCTGGGTTCGATCCCTGGGTTGGGAAGTTCCCCTGGAGAAGCGAATGGATACCCACTCCAGTATTCTGGCCTGGAGAATTCCATGGACAAAGTTGCTTAGCAGGCTATAGTCCATGTGGGGGGCAGAGTCAGACACAACTGAGAGACTTTCACTTCATTAGGCTTCTCCCAGGTCATCATCATCTTCACTCTACAAATGTCCTGCTCTGAGCAATTATACAAGGAGCTTACTTCTCAGTGACTAAATGGATGATTAGTCAAATTCAAGAGGTGAAATGAATTTTCTAAACCAGAATCTAACATTTGAATAGACTAGATCTGTCATCAGCCTAAACGAGGAGGAGATGGTCTGGTAAACCCAATATCAAATCAGTATCGATTGAAAACACACCTAGTTTCAGCCGGTCTCTGGGGAATTCCCATTTGCTGGCATCATAAGGCAGGCGTTCACAGTGCTCATCCAAGGGGAGTTCGTCTGGATCCATGACGATGGATAAGTAGCCCGTCTTCAGTTCCCCTCCATTGGCCTGGAAAGCATTACTCTTTCCAGTCACACACACTCTGTTGTTTGGCTGTTGTTTTGCGAGCTTGTTATTGTTGTTTTATAGAAGCCCTGTTCTTGGTGTCTCATTTTCTAAACGGTTCATGGAGTGTGAGGGTTGTCCTAGTATAATTCTGTTCCCAGTGTCCCCTCAACCCCCAAATGAGCTCAGAGTTTAATTCTCAAATCTTAATTACACTAGACAGTCCAAGCCCATTTCTTCTCTAGTTGCTTCTATCAATTAAAGCCCAGTGGTCCAGCCAAAAGTAAGTGGGTAAGAACGTTATTGTATAGAAATAAAATTGTGCCTATTGAGCCAATAACAATGGAAAGAATCAACTCAAAGAACTCCAGTCAGCTTTCATTAATCATGAAAACCAATGTGAATGGGACAGAAGGAAAATTATTCTGTTACCCGCTTAACGGTCCGTAGAACGATGACAAGAAGCAGCCAGAAGAACATGGCAATCACTGCAGTGCCTACTAGAATAATGACTTCCAAGTTTGTCTTTTCCTGGGCACCTGGCAATACACAAATGAATGAACATCAACAACTGGAAACTCATACCTTTTGACATAAAATAACAAAGTTCAATCACTAAAGCAAAATTTCAATCTTATGAACTCAGAAAAATCCTAGGCACTAATAGTCACAATCTCTAACTTGGATGGAGCTTATAATATTCTTAATGGATAATTTAAAGTTTGCAAAATATTGCTCATGAAAACTTCCAACAATAAAATTCTAAAGTAATAAAGGAGAGAAATATTAATATCTTAAAAGGCAAACAAAGTGTTTGTAAGAAGAGCAGAGTTTGATGGAAAGAAAACAGATCATGTTCTGCAGAGAAGAAAAGTATGGAGTATTTTCTCTTATGTTTGGAGAAAATAAGTGTCTGATTTTGTGCTGATAGTCTATATTTTGATCTATATGGAGTTTGAGGAGGACTGTTTAAGAAAACAAGTAGGGAAATAAATGTATTCCTTTGGCCAGAGAACCATTGGTGACCATGCACCTACTAGGTGCCCATCACTGTAAATATGTCATGCCACTGAAGTCTTCTCAATAACCCTCAGTTTTCAGATGGAGAAGACATTCAGAGAGAATTAAGCTATTTCATAAGGACACACAACAAGTTGCTGGAACGGTCAAGAGTTAAACAAGGTCTGTCTGACACCAGCTAACATCACATTACCCCATCCTCATGTGATAGTAGCCTCAGTGAGGAAAGAGAGAGAGCTGAGGTGAGTGCATGAGTGCACAATCACTCATGAAAGGACAGAGAAGAGAAAAAGCTGAAGGTCAGCAAGGAAGCTGCAGATGCTCAGGACTCCAGAGGAGGCTCTGAGGGGGGAAAATGAAGCCCAGAGGAGGCTTTCAACTAAGAGTGATTAGCAAAGTGGTGATAAGGAAGCAATTATCACTTAGGGTCACTGCCTGTTGGAGGAGTGCAATGTGAATCAAATTGGGCCACAAGCTGTGAGTGTGGCTCAGGCAGCCTCAAGAAGACAGGAAGACAAGTAATTAATTAGTTAGCAAAATAAGAGCTACAGTTGAGAGACAAGCATCAAGTCTGCTTGCAAGCAGACTTTGTTTCTCTGGTGGTCTTACTGAAGGATTTCTCTATTTATACATAGAGATTGAAATGTCTGTTTGTTCAGAGTAGGAAGTGCAAAGATACAACTGTCTATATAAGTTGGTGCATTAATATTCCCATATGAACATTTGGGAAACTAGCAGGAGCATTAAATACGTACCTCATCCTTTCTTAATATTCTCTCCTGGTGAAAAGTAAACATAATCTCAGTGCCACTGTTACCTAGTTAGGCCTCCTTGAAACCAGATGCAGAAAGCTAACAGAGCTGAGGCAGGGCATGGGAGAGAACTGGAAATCTCCCTTAGGATTTGCCCTAAAGCATAAAGCAGTTTGAATGTGACCAACCGCCATGTCACTTGAAATCTATTTGCAGGTTATAAAATGGCAATAAACCTACAGATTCGAAAAGAAGTCAAAGTATTGAGATGTAATACTTGGCAACACAGATTAGACAGATTAAAGGGACTAAAATCTAGAGCTTGAGAGACAAATTAGGATGCATTCATAGAAATCTGTCAATTCCTCCATCTATCACCACTCTTCTCCTTTCCCCCTGCATACCATTCCTTCACCCACATAATACAGTTCCACTGTCCCACTCATGGGTTATTTTTTTTAAAGATAGGAATACACTTTTGAAGATAAATATTCTGTCACAAATTACCTTTCCCATCTGAGAAAAATGCTAGATTTCACATCATTCCTGCATATTCATTTAGATAAGAACCCCAAACTTTCCATTTCAGAGAAGCAATGCTCCATTGTTCACAACTGAATCTTAATTATCTCCAGTCCAATAAGAACTATGAACCTTTGTGACTATCTAGATAGCACTGATTTTCATGACTAGGCAGGAATTCTACCCAATAAATATAGGGGCTTAATTTTCATAACTAGTTAGTTGAGCCAGTCATATGAAGAAAGAATCAAGGAAAGAAAGACATTCCACCTGCCAGGCTAAGAATTTTTCTACAATGAGAACTGCAGGGATAGAAATGTGATGCAAGCAGAATTAAAATAACATTAATTACGTTTTCTGGTTAAAATAATATATATTTATAGTAGAAAACTTACAAAGTACAAAGAATATGAAAAACCAGCCATAACCCTCCCACCCTAAGTACTTGAGTACAGGTACAAGCTAATTTTTAAAAGCGATCTGATTGTCTATGAATCCCCACTGACCTTCTACTATGAAAAACGCCTCCACTTTTGCACACCCAAGGACACTGCACGCCTGGCACGTGTACAGGCCTTCATCCTCCTTCCTCACCCTGCGGATAGTTAGGTTTCGGTTCCCATCTTTCAGCACAATGCCTGAGAAAGGGGGAGAATGTAGTTTTGGTGTTATTTTTAAATTTTTATTGGAATATAGTTGCTTTATGATGCTGTGTTAGTTTCTACCGTACAGCCAAGTGAATCAGCGATGTGCATGCATATATCTGCTCCTTTTTTGGATTTCTTTCGCATTTAAGACACCACAGAGCATTGCGTAGAGTTCCCTGTGCTGGACAACTGTTGTTGTTTAGATGCTAAGGTGTGCCCGAATCTTTTGCAGCCCCATGGACTGTAGCCAGCCAGGCTCCTCTGTCCATGGGAATTCCCAGGCAGGAATTACTGGAGTGGATTGCCATTTCCTTCTCCAGGGGATCTTTCCAACCCAGGGTTCGAACCCATGTCTCCTAAATTGATAGATGGACTCTTTACCACTGAGTCATCTGGGAAGCCGTGCTATACAGTAGGGTTTTTATTTTATGATGTGGTCTAGTGGAGCTTTCCAGGAAAAAAAATTAATATACATGTTTCCCTCTATCTTGGGCTAGTGTCTGACTCCAAAGTGTCAGGGTCAACTGCTATCTCAGCACCCATGGCTTCCACGAAAATTCAGCAGTCTCTGGACACTTGGGCTCTGAGTCTACAAAATGAGTCAGACCATGGACACTAATACTGCTTTTTGTTCTGCCTAAAACAAATCAAGAAACAACATGGATGTTATACTGTATGACCCTTCTACGTGGAATCTAAAAAATAAAACAAACTAGTGAATATAACAAATAAGAAGCAGACTCATACAGAGAACAAACCAGTGATGACTAGTGGGGAGACGTGAGCGGGTGGGGGAAGATACCAAAGGGTAGGGGATTAAGAGGAACAAACTACTATGTATAAAATAAATAAGCTAAGGGGATATATTGCATAGTACAGGGAATATAGCCCATATTTTGCAATCATGATAAACAGAGTAATAATCTTGAAAAGTTGAGAATCACTATGTTGTCCACATGAAAATTAAATAATATTGTACATCAACTATACCTTAATAAAAATAAATAAGTAAATAATTTTTTAAAAAGATATAATATGGACTTTAGTCAATATCTCTAGGAAAATTATACAGCCAAAGTGAGATAGACATGCTCTGTTCACCTGAGTCCTCCACAAGCGTCTCATTATCTTTAAACCACGTAATCTGTGGAGAGGGATTCCCAGATGCTGTGCAGGAAACTTCAATGGTTTCACCAATACTTGTCGTCTGATTCTCCAGGTTTCCCGTGATCATGGGTGCCATGCGCTCTATGTACACACACACACACACACATCACATGACATTTAGTTATGACTTTTGAAGTGGTTTTCATATCAGTAAACTATTAAACCATTTGGTAAACTATTAATTTACTAGGCTGAAAATACACAGAGGTGGACAACAGGAGTGTAGGTCACTGAGCAAAGTTAAATGAAACAAGTCAGTTCAGACAGATTACTGCATTTCTGAACATTCATACTAGTGATTCGACCTGGTAATCAACACAAAATTAAAGTTATCTTTCTTGTGGACTTCCCTCCTATCAAATAGATATATAGATAGATAAATTCTAGCCACTGATACCCAAGAATTCTGCCATGCTTCTCTTGGAAAGTATATAACTTCAGTGCAATTCAACAAAGAACACCTTATATTTATTTGGTATTTTTTACAAAACTCATTTGTCCTACTTCTGTTGCTCACTGTCAACTCTATGGTGGGAGTAATAGTCTTATTTTGAAGATGAAATGGGTTAAGCAACTTGTCCAAGTCCCTGTAATTAAGTTAACAGCTGAATTCAGAATCTAGTTAGCCTAAAAGGTTAGTTCAATACTATTTCCAGTAAAGCATAGACAAAATAATAATACTCTAACAAAAGTCAAAGTTTTTTTTAAAAAATGAAGCCCACGGGTACTTGTTTAAATGTACAGGACAACTTTAGATTTAACCTTTCCTACAAATCAGCAAAATGCTATGGAAATAACTTGTCCAAACCAACTGAATATCAAAAGGAATTTTGCTGAAAGAATCCACTTCAACATTTGGCAAAACGACAGTACCTCAACAGTGAACGGCACTGGGGCTTAAGCAAATAGACTCTGGTCTATTTCCAAGAATAATTTTTGGAAAACAACCTGTGAGTTCGTAGGGAAGCAAACCAGCCCACTGTGAGCAAGTGTTTCCTGGGCATGGCAAGCCGGGAGCCTCCTTCACATCTCTTTCTGAAGTTTTTCATTAGCTTGAAACCAGACCAGTCACCAAGATGAACAGAAAAACCATGCTCATATATGGGCTGTGATCTGAAGAGCCTTGGGATGACTACACTCAAAAAATCTCTTCTTTTGACACCAGAGTCTTAACACCAGCAAAATCTATCCTAGTTCCCACCTGAAAAATATGTCAAGGCCTTTGAAATATTATTCGTCTGAAACTGCAGTATAAATTAGCTTATCTGGGCAGTTCTCCTTAACAAAACAGAACATATGCATCCTAGAAACAAGGAAGGGACACTAAGGAGATGAGAAAATGAGAAGAGAGGGTATACAAAGAGAAACTCTCTAAATTTGCCTGATTTCCCCAGAGACAGAGCCACGGCTGTACAGATTTTGCGCAAGGTGAAATGTTAGAGGAGGTGCAGAGAGTGGCTTCATGTGGCACCGACAAAGCCTTTTGCTCATTAGAATGATCAACTCATTGACCTTGAGCTGTGCCCCAGCGGCACACACACAGTGCCTCGGCCTCCCAGGGGCTCTCACAGGTCTTAAAACAACCCCATCACCACACTCTCCAGGCAGCAAATGTCTTATCAAGCAATATATGCCACTGTGTTCTATGTCTGCAGCTCAGCAAGGGGTAAAGCAGAAAACAAGCCCGGTCTTCATGGACACAGAGCAGTCACTGGACTACGACAGGTTGTCTGCGTTCTCATCCTACCCACCTAGTCACCACTGTGACCTTCCAGCACCCTCCAAGCTCACGGTGGGCATTCACACATACATGTCTATTAAAATAAATGAATGCCCAAGAATGAGGCAGAAATGTCCCTGGTTTAGGGTAATCCCCTGAAGATAGCAGTGAGCAACTCCACCATCAGGGTTGGAAAGAATAGGATTATTTTCTCCTTTTAATACATCACTTCAGCATGATTAGCTTCCTTCTGCCTTGAGGACTTTCAGTGAGTCAGATATGAGCTCATCTGTCTAATGTATAAGCACATAGAGGACAATCTTCTCATGGGTCCTGAAAGCACTACATTGAAGGCATCCCAACTGCCTCTGGATGGTCCAGAGTGATCGCCCTACCTAGGACTGTGAGCTGCCTGGCCACACAATGTCTTTTCATAGATAAATTCTAGCCACTGATACCCAAGAATTCTGCCATGCTTCTCTTGGAAAGTATATAACTTCAGTGCAATTCAACAAAGAACACCTTATATTTATTTGGTATTTTTTACAAAACTCATTTGTCCTACTTCTGTTGCTCACTGTCAACTCTATGGTGGGAGTAATAGTCTTATTTTGAAGATGAAATGGGTTAAGCAACTTGTCCAAGTCCCTGTAATTAAGTTAACAGCTGAATTCAGAATCTAGTTAGCCTAAAAGGTTAGTTCAATACTATTTCCAGTAAAGCATAGACAAAATAATAATACTCTAACAAAAGTCAAAGTTTTTTTTAAAAAATGAAGCCCACGGGTACTTGTTTAAATGTACAGGACAACTTTAGATTTAACCTTTCCTACAAATCAGCAAAATGCTATGGAAATAACTTGTCCAAACCAACTGAATATCAAAAGGAATTTTGCTGAAAGAATCCACTTCAACATTTGGCAAAACGACAGTTCCTCAACAGTGAACGGCACTGGGGCTTAAGCAAATAGACTCTGGTCTATTTCCAAGAATAATTTTTGGAAAACAACCTGTGAGTTTGTAGGGAAGCAAACCAGCCCACTGTGAGCAAGTGTTTCCTGGGCATGGCAAGCTGGGAGCCTCCTTCACATCTCTTTCTGAAGTTTTTCATTAGCTTGAAACCTGACCAGTCACCAAGATGAACAGAAAAACCATGCTCATATATGGGCTGTGATCTGAAGAGCCTTGGGATGACTACACTCAAAAAATCTCTTCTTTTGACACCAGAGTCTTAACACCAGCAAAATCTATCCTAGTTCCCACCTGAAAAATATGTCAAGGCCTTTGAAATATTATTCGTCTGAAACTGCAGTATAAATTAGCTTATCTGGGCAGTTCTCCTTAACAAAACAGAACATATGCATCCTAGAAACAAGGAAGGGACACTAAGGAGATGAGAAAATGAGAAGAGAGGGTACAAAGAGAAACTCTCTAAATTTGCCTGATTTCCCCAGAGACAGAGCCACGGCTGTACAGATTTTGCGCAAGGTGAAATGTTAGAGGAGGTGCAGAGAGTGGCTTCATGTGGCACCGACAAAGCCTTTTGCTCATTAGAATGATCAACTCATTGACCTTGAGCTGTGCCCCAGCGGCACACACACAGTGCCTCGGCCTCCCAGGGGCTCTCACAGGTCTTAAAACAACCCCATCATCACACTCTCCAGGCAGCAAATGTCTTATCAAGCAATATATGCCACTGTGTTCTATGTCTGGAGCTCAGCAAGGGGTAAAGCAGAAAACAAGCCCGGTCTTCATGGACACAGAGCAGTCACTGGACTACGACAGGTTGTCTGCGTTCTCATCCTACCTGCCTAGTCACCACTGTGACCTTCCAGCACCCTCCAAGCTCACGGTGGGCATTCACACATACATGTCTATTAAAATAAATGAATGCCCAAGAATGAGGCAGAAATGTCCCTGGTTTAGGGTAATCCCCTGAAGATAGCAGTGAGCAACCCCACCATCAGGGTTGGAAAGAATAGGATTATTTTCTCCTTTTAATACATCACTTCAGCATGATTAGCTTCCTTCTGCCTTGAGGACTTTCAGTGAGTCAGATATGAGCTCATCTGTCTAATGTATAAGCACATAGAGGACAATCTTCTCATGGGCCCTGAAAGCACTACATTGAAGGCATCCCAACTGCCTCTGGATGGTCCAGAGTGATCGCCCTACCTAGGACTGTGAGCTGCCTGGCCACACAATGTCTTTTCTTAGTCTTCCTGTCCTGAGCAAAGCAGACATAGTCTCCTTGGTCCTGCAAGGATGCATTCTGCAGCTCCATGATCAAGATGTCATTTGTGCTGTTAGAGATCATGGTGGCATTCATTTTCCAAAGAGCATCCAAGTTCTTGCAGACAGGTGTGGGTAAATCACCCATGTGGATGGGCAGGGCCTGTGGGCCGAGTTTGTACCACGTGAGGTTCTCAAACATAGTTCTGTCCGCGGAGCACCACAGAGACACACTCTCCTGCTCGGTGGGCTGGGTGCCGGGTTGCAACGTGATTTCAGGACCCCCTGAAATGTAAAACCCATGGTTAGAAGACAGTGATTTACCTTGGGCTTTCTGCTACTGCTTTCATGTTGCCTGCAGTCTGCAATGAAGCACCAAGAAAAGTGAAGCCCTGGCATTCCCAGACAACAGAATACAAGGAGACAACCAAACTGGACAATGTGGTTTCAAAACGTATTGTTTTGCTAAAATACATTATTTGGAAATGTAAATGAATTCCTCAGATATTTATAAAATCTTCACTTGGAGTCTAAGTATGGTTTTAAGATTAAAAAATTCAAATTGAAAGAGGATAATTATAACATGAGATTTACAAACTTAATTCCTCATTGATATGTAACACTCACTGACAGGAAAGCTATGTTTATTACCATAAATTGGCCCAGACTGAAATATTTTATCTCAGTCAGCTAAAGACAAACCATGAATTAAGATGAACAGACAAAATCAGCAGCATCGGGACGGCACCGCTCCCATGTCATCACAACTGTCTCCCCAAAACCCAACTTTGTCAGCTCTTCAACAGCAAGCCCACAAATACTGACTGAATCTCGCTAAGCCAAGTGCTGTGCTAAGACTCTGATGACAGAGACAAAAAGCATGGCGCAGGACTTGACGGTCAGAATCAATTGTTCTCTCCCCTGTGAAGTCAAACGCACTGACTTCACATGAGTCCAGGAGCTACCTGAGGAGTTCTCATCCATGAACAAAAGCATCAATTATCCACCCAAGTTCCCTTCCTAAAGCCATTGCCGCTCATGGGAATAGTCAGGACGATGGGGTATCTGTCAGCCAGCCCAGTCCCTGGAGAGCACTTACTGGTCACATGGAAGGAGATAACCCTCTCTCCTCTTCCAGCTTTGTTCACTGCTTCACATTTATACAAAGCAGACACATTGGCCGCTTGGATAACAAGAGTACTTACAGTCTGTGAAAAAAATAAATACCAGGCCATAAACAACAGAGCCTATGTTTATGCACATGCACTCAGACTAAAATTCAGCGTCCCCCCAACTGCTGCGACCTGCCTACTCCATTCATCCTCCAGTACTGACTGCACTCAAATCCATGCAATTATAACTATGCTGATGCTACTCACACATCATACAAAATGAGCTTTGGAACCATAAAATTAAAACTGTTTTAACACAACACTACATACCTTGTCTCACTTTCATGTTTATAAAATCAGAATTACCATACAACTGATGTACAGAGTTAATGGCATATGTATTTTATGTTTCTCTGATTCAGTAATAGCAAGTCAATAGTGCTTTTAAAAGTCAATGGTGTTTTCAAACTGACTTAACATGCTAGTATTTTATCATTCCATTTATCTGACAGTCAATCTCCAATCTTCCTCACCTATTATTTTACCCTGCTTTCAGTCCATCCTTCCATAAAAGAGAGACAGATTTTCAAATTCAAAAACTTAAAACTCACTTTGTTTCTTCCTTCAATTAGGGCAATCTGATTTTTGTTGACTTCAATTTTGTTTCCCCCCTGGAAGTCCTCCACATTTCTCCATTCCTTACAAGTGTATGGGTTTGTTGTTAAGGCAGCGAGGCTGTAAGACAGAGGTAAGAGATGATGTCATGACTTAATTTTCCCTTAATTCAAATCAATATCAAGGAAAGCAGTCAGACTTTGGTTATTACATTCTTAGAAATAACTTCGAATGCACTCCACCAAGTTACAAGACTTGGCGCCAATTAAAAATAGGCCTCCGCAATGGAGGAAAAGGTTCTAGGTAGATTCATTCAGGATACAGGAGGGAAGCAGCTATTCTGGGAACAAACCTCCATTCATAAATTGGATCGACAAGACAATTCAAGCTAATTTAGTTCAAAGGAAGGCAAGGAAACTAAGAAGCCATCGGGCTTCTTAAAGTAATTTCCCTGGGACTGTATCCTTGTGTAGGAAACGGTCAGCATCTGAGGAAGAAACTCGAGAGGCCATCTCAAAAACAACAACAGGAAGTGCACTGCTTAGGGTGGTGGTGGGTGACTTGTTGTTGCTGTTTTTCCTAAGGATGTCTGGACTTGTGTGTTAGGACCTGATAAGCCGGACCTGAGACTCTAAGGTCTATCACTCCCTTGCAAACATCAGTACTTCCTCTGAGATGGACCTTCTCACAGATAAGGAGATTGGGGTATTCACTGGCTGACTGGCATAGGAAGAAAAACCAAGGACTGGCAATTAACAAAGTGGCAAAGAAACTGCATTCAGGGAGGTAGACATAAGGGCTAATTAGAGAGAGCTAATCTCAAAGCAGGATACCCCAAGGAATGACATCTCCTGAGGACATAGCACAGAGAAAGATGGAAGGAGATGAAGAGTACTGCTTGAGGAATAACCTTAGAGATAGCCTTCTTGGCTTAGAATGGAATCGTATTGTAGCATGGCCATGTCCGCCAACAGAGGCGTGGATAAGGAGGCTGTGCTACATATTTGTAACAGAGTACTACGCTGCCATATAAAAGAATGAAACAGTGCCATTTCCAGCAACACAGGTGGACCCAGAGATTATCAGAGTAAGTGAGGTAAGCCAGACAAAAACAAGCACGGTCTGTTATCACTTACACATGGAATCTAAAGAATAAAACAAATAATTTTTTTTTAGGCGCAAAAGAGCAGGGGCAAAGGGCATGGTCCTACTCACGCGGGCGGATAGGTGCACTCTGTCTCCAGCTGCCAGTACCAGCGAATGTGACTTGGAGTGGGGACAGCATAGACCGTGCACGTCAGCGTTTGGGAGGTGCCATACTGGTAAGAGTCCACGGGAGACAGCAGCGACTTCTCACCGATCTGAGGTGGGACTGGAGATGAGAAAGACAACTTCTGAACTGTCAATCAGCTTTGAGGATGGAAAGTTGCAGTTTTCAGCAACCAAAGCCTGTGTTTTTCCAAGCATAGCGTTTTTGCCCCCATTTGCTTTTTCAAAGAACATTTAGACTTGGAAGCAGGGCACCTGACTTCTAGTGATGCTCACGATAATGACAATAAACTAGTAAGCTGGGTGGCTTTGTGCCCGTCTCACTGCCCCGTGACTCGCTTTTCTCATCCGCATCCGCGGGAGAGCTCTCCTCGCCCTTCCAATTGCACAAGACTGGGCAAGCCTCCAGAAAAAATACTGCAGTTGTGAATAATACAGTAAGCAGATGCATTATGTGCTGAACATTGTTCGAAGTGCTTTACACCAATTTATTCATTTAATCCTCACAGCCACTATTATTGTTCTCCACTTTACACATGAGAAAAATTCAAAAGTGAAATGACTTGACAAGGTCACCACCCTGCCTCCTTCTCCATCTCTCCCTCCTTCTTCACCTTCCTGCCTTCCTTCCTCTCTCCTATCCTTTCTTATCTTCTTGCCTCCCTTTCTCCATTCCTTCCCTGCCTGACCTCCTTCTTTCCCATTTTTCTGTTTTTGGCTCCAAAGTCATTAATGTGAAACTATCTTGTCATCACTACCAACTTAAGGCCCAAGATTATACATTCAAAACTTGACTTCTTTTTAAGGCTTGTTTTAGAGAGGAGGGTAAATGCTAGGGTGAATCAAATGTGGAGTAACTTCTTGGATGAATGAGATGGTTATTCACCATCCATTCTTACGTCTTTATCTCTTATTCATTTCCTTCTTCCCATCCTTCCTACCAGCTTCTCAGCTTCTCTCCACTCCCAAACCCCTATATCCAACTGGCTCCTAAATGACATTTCTGGAACCTGTTATCTTTAAAATACTCCTTGAAGCTGATGTCCCAGCAAAGAAATGAAGCCAAGCTCAGTAGACATACAGAGCATGGATACATACAGGCAGGATATATAAGGAAGCACATGAGAATGTTTAATATCACTTGAGAAGGTTCTGAAGTTTTAATCTGCTATGCCAGTAGACTGCATAAAGAATTACAACAGACAGGAATTTCCCAACCTGTGTCTGGAGCAAGATATTAACGGATGCATGGCGGAGGGGGGGCACTAGTCACATGTTTGTTAAACCTCGGCTACTCTGTCTTCCTGCCCTCTCCCCCTGGAAGATGGCAATACACAATGTCCATCAACTTAGCATCTCTTGCATTTGCTTGACCACGATGACCTTCTTCTCCCACCCAGAAGACTTATTATAAATAAGCATCTTTCAGGTTGGAAAAATAAAGTTCAAATTATCCTTAAATCTAAAATTTAATATGTCCCCTTTATAGCCTCAGAGTTAGGTCCCAGACATCTGTTGAAAAAAAGATTAAAACACTTCCAAGCAATGTCCACCTAGAAAAGCCTTCTGCATTGGAGCCTACCTGTGCATCACTGATACATCAACCCCAAATCAAACTAGAAATTTCCCACGAAATTCAAGTAGAATCTTAAACATTTGCATGCCAGAAGCACAATTCAAAGGTATTGCAACTGAGCCTGATGACGGTCCCTGCTGGCAATTTTATTCCACAGTACTCAGCCATCTACTTTACTCTCACATTTGACCAAGGTTCGATCACCTGGCCTCGTAAGCAAAGTGTCCAAAGCACACTGCTGCCACCTCGTCTCAAGCCACACTGTTCTGGATCATTTTTATACACAGGAGCCTACTCGTGATGCCAGTGAGGCACACGTGCCCAGCTGCTCCGGAGGACATCATCAAATTATTTATAACAGAACTGGGGCAGAGAAGGAAAACTGAACGGACTCACCATTCACCACCAGAGACACCATGTGGCTCTGTTTCTCCTTTGAAATGGGGTTGGTAAGAATGACAGTGTAATTTCCCGTATCTCTTTCACTCACTTCCATAATAGTCAGCACATGCCCCACTTTCATTGTGTGATTGGACTCAATGGGCTTTCCATTTTTATACCTATGGGGGAAAAATTCCAGGAATTAGTCCAATCTGAGGATCTGTTTTCATGTGGCACAAGGCTCTGCATTTATTCCCAGTCATTACCATTTTATTTCTGGAGGAGGGTAACCAAGGTACTTGACAGGGACTCTGACACGCTCCCCCACGGTGGCTTCCACCAAGGATTCCATGCCACTCCCGAAAGCAACAAAAGGCTTTTCTGGAAGAAAATAAAGATAATTTTTTTCTCATAGATGGCAACTTCTTAGACATGGCCATTTCTAAGAAGGGTTTCACGTGAAGAGTCAAAAGCTGTGTGTCTGAGTCGCTGCGGTTCCCACACTCCCACAGGTCCCATTCCAGCTTCCCTCTCACCCCAGGTCTCCAGCGTTTGTCTCTCCCCCAGTCCACTCGGCAAGTCCACTGAGCACTCCAATCTCACTCAGTCCAAGCATCTGCTTCTCTGTGAAGCTTTCTCTGCGTCCCCCAGGAGCCCTTGGGCGCTCCTTCTCCTCGGTCCCTTCACACCCTACACATAACCCCATGCACACCAGGACTCAGTCCTCAGACCTCTTCTCTGTGTTGACACCTCCTCTCATCCATTACCTTCCTCCTAAACTTACATCTCCTGGCCCAACTTCTCTGGGATCTAGGTTAATATCTTAAATTTCCATTTGGATGTTTAACAGGCATCTCCAAATGAAGCCACCAAACCCTGGGTCCCCAAATCTTACTCCCCTCCTTACCTTCCTTATCTCAGTTAAGAAAACTACCATTCACTCAGTTGCTCACACTAAAAACTCAAGAGGTCATCTTCTATTTCTTTTTTCTACATCCCACAGGCAGGGAATCAACAGGCAGATGCTACTGGCTCTATCTCCAAAGTTATATCCAGAATCAGTTCACTTCTCACCACCTCTACTTCCACCAACCTTGTCCAGGCCACCATCCATCTCTCAGCTGGATGACTGCAATTAGCCTTCTAACTAGCCTCTCTACTTCTGCCCTTACTTCCCTAAAGTATTTCACATCAGAAAAAAAAACAACTTATATAGTGATCCTATTAAAACATAAGCCAGAGCACATCTCTCTCTGCTCAAAACCCGTCTTGCATTCCCATATTATAAAATCCAAGCTTTTACAAAGGCCTGTAAGTTAGATGCCATACAAATTATCATCTAAACTGAGACATTTATGTGAGTGAAAGAGAATAAATGGGAAATCAAGTTATTTTCTCAAAGCCCCACAGAAACTAACTAAATATAGCTTTCACCAATTGTAAGGCTTATGCTTGCAATTCAAGGAAGACTCTCAGCCTTGTAATTGAACAAAACTTGTAAAATGATCTTAGATAAAAATCCTCTGCTTGTTATAGTGATAATAAGAATAGCAGCAACAAGTAATACTTAGTGAGCACTTACTGCATCAGCTCATTTCATCTCTAAAGCTGGGCTCTGAACCCAAGCTATGTTCTTGACCCTGAGGTCCTAGCAAGAGCTCAAAAACATCTTCTGAATGAACAAAATAGGATTCACTAGCTTAACTTAACTTAACTAGCTTAAACTTTTTTCCATTTGGATGTTTAACAGGCATCTCCAAATGAAGCCACCAAACCCTGGGTCCCCAAATCTTACTCCCCTCCTTACCTTCCTTATCTCAGTTAAGAAAACTACCATTCACTCAGTTGCTCACACTAAAAACTCAAGAGGTCATCTTCTATTTCTTTTTTCTACATCCCACAGGCAAGGAATCAACAGGCAGATGCTACTGGCTCTATCTCCAAAGTTATATCCAGAATCAGTTCACTTCTCACCACCTCTACTTCCACCAACCTTGCCCAGGCCACCATCCATCTCTCAGCTGGATGACTGCAATTAGCCTTCTAACTAGCCTCTCTACTTCTGCCCTTACTTCCCTAAAGTATTTCACATCAGAAAAAAAAACAACTTATATAGTGATCCTATTAAAACATAAGCCAGAGCACATCTCTCTCTGCTCAAAACCCGTCTTGCATTCCCATATTATAAAATCCAAGCTTTTACAAAGGCCTGTAAGTTAGATGCCATACAAATTATCATCTAAACTGAGACATTTATGTGAGTGAAAGAGAATAAATGGGAAATCAAGTTATTTTCTCAAAGCCCCACAGAAACTAACTAAATATAGCTTTCACCAATTGTAAGGCTTATGCTTGCAATTCAAGGAAGACTCTCAGCCTTGTAATTGAACAAAACTTGTAAAATGATCTTAGATAAAAACCCTCTGCTTGTTATAGTGATAATAAGAATAGCAGCAACAAGTAATACTTAGTGAGCACTTACTGCATCAGCTCATTTCATCTCTAAAGCTGGGCTCTGAACCCAAGCTATGTTCTTGACCCTGAGGTCCTAGCAAGAGCTCAAAAACATCTTCTGAATGAACAAAATAGGATTCACTAGCTTAACTTAACTTAACTAGCTTAAACTTATTTGAATTACCTCACTTTTCAAGGCAGAGCATAATTTCCAAGGCAATCTTGGCTTACCATGTACCCGGACGAACGTACTGTTCTTCTTGGTCATCAGCCCACTGGAAGCTGCACAGATATACCACCCCTGGTCACTCCGGGTTACACCATCTATAGTCAAGGTGCTCAAGAACTTCTTCATTTCCGTCCCAGACTGGGTTTTTAGGTCCCGGTTTATAAGTTTTTTATGCTGATGCTGAAAAAGAGGTTACTGAACTTCCAAAGGCCAGCATAACATTCCCCAATAGCTTCTAGATACCCACAAAAGTCTTGGCCCTTGGTGAACACTATTTAATGCTAATAATAGAGACTTCTGAACTTTTAACATTATGCAGATGACAATTAAATTTGGTTTTAGGAGAAATAAATAGAATCAACTGAATTAGGAATTTTAAAACCTCACATAACAGGAATCAGAGAAATATAAACTGCAGAAACACAAGGAAATATGACCACAGTCTAAGGAGAAGAATGTCTCATGCCACTTCTTGCAAAAGATTTCCTTAAAGGGAAAATAGATCAAGGACTTCGGAGAACAGAGGAATAATGCAAACTGGAAAGACATAATCATCAAAAGAAAACTAATCTTCACAGCTTGGACAGAGTTCTTGATTTTGCCTCTTTCTTTCTATGGGTGCCGTATGTCCTGTAGTTCTTTTAAAAGGTATGTGTATGTGTGTGTGTGTGTGTTAGTGTGAGCTAAGGCCCTTAACTTTATCTGGCCAAAGAGGTCCCTGTCTCTCTCAAGCAAACTTCAGTGGAGCTTATTACCAAAGTATTTGGAGGTCTGGCTTTGGGCTGTTAGTGTTACCTTCAAAGAAGGGTATTCCCAGTGGAAGTCGATCCCCACATTTAGCTCAGTTCGTGCCGTACAATTTAAGACGAGCTTCTCTCCAACAGACAGCTCGACTCCATGAGGGGGGCTCAGAACCACATCATAGATCTTGTACCCTGGAGAGAGTAAATTGGAAAAAGGGAAAGTGGGAGGGAAACCAAATCTATAACTTGGCTCACATTTTTTCAGAAATGATGCATCTTCAAAATGTGTCACATCATTTCCTCTGAGGGCCTCCCCAAACCTTGGGAACTCCCAGGAAAAATGGTCTACAGAGACTCACAAAGAAGCTCTAAACGGATTTCCAATGTGTTGTAGCCCAGTGGATAGAAAAGCAGTAAAATCTGAGAAGTCAATAGTCACTGGGTCCAGCTTTAGAAAGTTACTGAACTTTCCATAAAATAGGTATACTTAAAAAGAATTGATGCCAAGCAATGCTCGAACATTGAATTTTTCATAAAATATGCTCCTATAATAGAACTCTTATTCATCCTTGCTCCTGATAAGAAAGGAGGAAAACCTCAATTGCACATAGGTTTATTGGATAGAGAAAGAGGGGATGCAATGAACTGCTTAGCACTAAATCTTGAATTAATATATTTCTCAATATCTTCTGTCTTCTAGGATCTTAATATAAGAAGCTAATTTTTATTATCTAATATTAAAGATTAAAAAGGAATTGTCCTCTTACCTATAACCACAATTATGTACATAATAGACTGGTAGCTTTCATCATTGATTTTTGCTTCACAGAAGACCACGCCAGCATAACTGATCATAGAGCTGGGAATACTGAAGCCTTTCTTGCTGTCCCAGGAAATTCTGTTCCCATCAGGAACAAATCTTTTTTCTGGATACCTCTGGGTAGAAAAAGCAGTATCAAATATTTAATCGTATTATCCAAAAGTGAAAACCATGAACACTAAAGAATTCATCTTATTTTAAGATTACAAGTTGGTTTTATTTATTGTCATATTGACCCTACCTAAAGTTTCCTTTAAAATTCATTGTTGATTTTAATGTTATATAATACATACTATATACAACACATATAATTACAATATAAGCAGGCTAATCACCTTAATATTAGCTAAAAATTAAAGGTAAGAGATGATGGAAGGAGATGTAACTTACTGCACAAAGTGACACATTGAGGTTGGAAACAGTCCCCAAACATGGAATTACCACAGTTTTGTTTTTGTTCTCAGTGACGTATACAACTTCATGTTGGTCGCTAACAGAAGCAATAAACGGAGACCTGTAATCTAGATGAGAATGTAATTTCATTCGTTAATGGAATTTACTAGAAAAGCTGGTCATCTTTCAGGTTCATAAACCCTAACCAGAGAAATGAATGACTGGGAAAAACATTTCTCCCTAGGCGAGGGAATCTGGAGGTAGGTCGTCTGGTAGACACCTGGCAGGTTGATCACTACAGTTCTTTCAAAGTGAAAGAGCGCATGTCTTTATTTTCATAAACATTTTCATATACATTATACATCTCTCATATACATAAATTTTAAAGTAAATTTAAAGTTAAATCTGTATAGTTTGCCTATCAAGATTTTTAATATTAAAAAAAATTCATGTTCTTTCTCTTTAAGCAAATAATATGTCATGAAAGCAGATTAATGGCTCCCAAAGGATCTTTAAAATAAAGAAATAACTAACCATTTTTAATTCAGAAGAAAGCTTATGTATTTTAAAATTGAGAAGAGTAAATATAAGATCCTGTATAAGGTAATGTTTAATAGTTATTGCATTTAGTTTAAGATTCAGTAGTCATTAATATTTTCAGTGACCAAAACACGAAAGACCATCATGGCAAAGACTGAGAAAAAAACAAAAGAGACTTTAATGCTGTTCAAACATTGATCATATGATGTTAGTATGCTGCTGGGAAACCATTCCTTTCCCCAGGGACAGAGTTGGGGTAAAGTCATGCTTGAAATCTCTGAGAGATAATGGGTCATACCAATACCCCCAATACACCTGACCAAGCATTTTCAGAGCTCTTCAGGGTCGCTGGTCCAAGTGAAGAAACAGTTAATTAAACCAAAGGGGGAAAAGCAGCTAATTCCCTGCAACAGCAGAAGTTTGATTTCCTTCCCAGCTGGAAAACACAGAAAGGCAGCCAATCCAGGCCACCACATGCCACAGCCATTATCTTACGAGGCCAAGACCCACTTCCTGGCTCCATCATTGCTGGAGGGAATGGGGTCAGAAGACTAAGGAAGTAAGGTGGGGACCAGAGGGGATATTAAAGGACTATCCATAGGGAATACTTCAATGTTTTCTTTTCCATTGTTAAACTTCATGACCTAAATCTTGGACAACTCACCTCCTACAACACTAGGCTTAGAAAGGAAGTAAAATTTGATGGTATTCTCAAAGACAGGCAGTGTACAAATAAACAGTGCTGGAGGTGGCTACTTCTTAATGTTACCTATCTTTCAGCTACATGCTATGAAATATTGCATAGCTTGCTTATACAGCAAGTCTTTGAAAGCTAAATTAACCCCTTGACGTAAGACTAAAGCTATTCAGTAAATCAATTCTATTTCAGTACCCCCCCAGAAAGGAAATAAACAAAAGAAACCCAAACAACCACCCATCCTCTCAAAATAAAATATTTACTGGAACTCATGAAATGAATTTTTGCATGTCTCCAGGTTTCCTGACTTGGGGAGAAGGAAATAACGAGATATTATGGGAGAGGTTCATCTAGTAGTATTTCCAGACAGCCTGAAAGCAGGAAATCCTTGCAATCTTCTGAGAAAGCCTGATCTCCCAAGACTGCCAGATCAAAAGGAGCCAGAAATTCTCAAAGATCTGAGCCTTGTCTCTTTCAACTTCTGCAGAAGGAAGGAGGACACAGAATCTATCCTGGATTGTGCTTACCCGGCACAAAAGTAATTCTCAAATATTGTGCAAATCCAGGAGTGACATACATTATTTGATGGTTCTCCACTGCACTGACCATATTGCACTAATGAAATGGAAATGGAAACGTGCAAGTATGCTTCCCAAAGCTGATGAAATCCCTGTTCTGTAAAAGATGCTTCTGGAAAAAAGTCTAAGCCATCTTCACCTGCTTCAGATTCTCTGGGATGTACAGAGGTATACAAATGTATAAATAAAATTTAGCTCATCTTTTATTTAGTATATCTAAGCAAAATACTATACTATACAATTAACACTCACCAAAGTTACATGATTGGTATCTCACTAGTTAAGTCAGTTTTCCCAGGAAAATTAAGTTAATATAAGATTTTTGAAACACAAAGGAAAGACTAACTCAGATTATAAATACTAAATACACGTGACATGTATTTTACCCTACGTGGATGGTAAGCTGGCCTCCACAGTGTAAATTCCCAAATTGCAAACTCTAGGATAAGAAGGCACGTCATCCAAGATCTCAGACCACACAAGCAAAGGAAAGAAATCCTGTCTTCAAAAGGCTCTTTGAGTCAGTGTCTTCATATGCGTGAGTGTATGGAAACTTGTTTTTTATAAAGTGTAAGAAGAGGGGGGGAAAGTTCTTATGAACAAAAAGCTCCAGAGCCCTTGGCTGATTCCCTGTGCATTCCTGGGGAAATCTCTGAATCTGCTGTAGATAACCTATCTCTCCACAGAAACTGGTCCATAATTCATCCCTGAATCTTCCTTTTCAAGGATTTCAGGGTTTTTTCCCTCAAACATCAGAAGGCTTCTTATAAATCTCCATTGCCAGTTGTGAACACAGAGCTCCCTTAGAAACAAAGATCAGAACCGAACTAATTGGGTAAAAGAGGTGTAACAGGGCCCAAGCTGCAGAACAAATCACAGAATCCTGTCCTCAGAGGAGGCCTTGGGAGAGAGGAATTCTACGGGCTCCTGTTGGCCGACAGCCTTCAGAGCGAGCCGCTGTTGTCCTCAATTCTGTGCACCTATTGCGCTTTGTAACTGGTAACTCACTTTGAGAAGTGAACGGCATTTAACCACTTACCTTGAACATACACATAAACAACGGAGGCCACGTCAGTGTCCCGGTAGAAGCACTTGTAGGCGCCAGTATCATTTCCAATCACTTCTGGAATTGTGAGCATCTTACAGAAGAAGCTGTCGCTGCAATCTGTGACCTCCACTCTTTTCTCAGAGCCACTCTGATTGTTGGGCCAGAGCCAGTCCAACTCCCTCTGACCTCTGAAAAATTCATTCCAAGCAAGTATTTAAGTGAAATGCCTATCAGGCTGTTTCTAAGAAAATAGAAGGTTTAGTTCTCCAACTTATACAAACTCCTCAACAGACAGATTCACAACCGTTTACCTGTGATGACAGGATATTATGGACACAATGACAAAAAGGCAGAGCCTTAATTTCAGAAACTAACTCATTCATTCATTCAACAAATATTTATTAAGCATGTGTTAAGTGCCAAACATTGGTAAAGACTGAGAATACAGCAGTGAACAAACCAAACTAAAATCAGTGCCTTCATGGAACCTCAGTCTAACTGAAAGACACTGGCCAAAAAAAAAAAAAAATAGTAAATAAACTTCAATAAAGCTAAAACGTTCAAAAAGTGAATAAAATATATTGTATAAAAGTAGTGATAAGTACTATGAGGAAATTTAGAAGATGCAAAGAAACAAGTGAAGGGTTAGTTCTGGAGGGAGGCAACTTGGTGAAGTGGGCCGTAGGTACATTGAGGGGGACAGAGTTTCAGGCAAAGGGAACAGCAACGTCAAGGCCCTGGGGTGGATTACTACCTGGAGTGTTAGGGGAATGGCAAGGAGCCAGAGTAGCTACAGAAGAGTGGGCAGTCAGGAGAGTAAGAGGTGAGGTTAGGATGGAAGGGAACGCAACTGTCTAAGGGCCTCACAGGACGTTGAAAGGACAGCATTAAAGCACAGACTACTTTCATTGCAGAATTTCTCTGCAAAGCCCCAAAGAAGATGGTCAACGTGAAGACAAATGTAATATTGCTGATCCTTCTTTAGCGAACTTGACATCAAGTTGCAGTGACATTAATGAAGTTACTTTTAACATACTCCATCACTTTTTTCACGACATAAAGGGAGTACAGAATCTCAGGGGTTTTAAATAGCCTTTCTTGTCAAGGGTGGTTAAGAGGAAAATCTATGGAGAAATGCATCTTGAAATAGCAAAGCTAGGCCAATAGCACCTCTTCCTATGTTTTTTCCCCAAAGGCTGGGTATTGGTGACCTACCCTTGGTAAGGGGACTAGAGTAGCCTTTACACTCGGCAAGCTAAAATAGATCGGTGTCATCGTGCTGAACACTTCACATTCATCACGCAGAAACAATGGCAACAAGCGCCCCAAGGTTCTTTGTGGACCCTCAGCACTCTTCGCAGAGGGCAAGGTCGCCTCCACCCATCATTTCTGCCAAAGCCACCCTGGTCCCGAGAAGCCTCTGGGTCTGACAAGCATAATCACTACATTAAACCCTAAGGTTTCTTACTTTTCTTCCTGCAGTTAGGGGCTGGAAGGCAAAATTTAAAAGCCTCTTTTTCTTGTCAAGAAGACCTATTTTCCCAGTGAGTAAGAATCAAGAGCATGACTTCTTGCTAGCTGGTGAGTGACAGACATGTCAGAACCTCAAGCCAGAGGATGAGATTCACTCAGTAATATTAATGACCGAATATTAAATTGCTACTACAGTCAGAATTTACCATAAAATAAAGTTCTTGAAAAATGTTAAACAGATGTCCAAGAGCCATGCTGAAAATAACAAATATGTCCCAAAACTTCTTTAACTCTAAGGCTACATCCTTGGTAGAACATACCACATGCCAGGCACTATCAATAATGGTTAGTAGGGTGTGTGTGTGTTGGTAGAGGATAGTAGGGGAAAAAAATATCAGTAAAATTGCACAGAATTTTGGGGAGAAAAACCTTTCTCATGTTTTCATTACTACATTAGTTCTTAGAAACCTCACGACTTATAAACAATTACAACGACTCTATTACAATTCTGCTGTACGAAAATTATTTTTTCTTTAATAAACAATGAGATATTTGACACAGGAAATCTGAATCTAAAAGGCATCCTTACCTGCAAGTGATCTGAAGCGTTGTGTTAGCCATAATTGTAAGTATGTCTTTTTGGATGCTGAGCCTGGGTGGATCAAGGGAAACACTAGAAAAACCTAGAAACAAATTAAATAAATGAATGTAATTGCTACTGAGTCAGGGCCAATAGGAAACACCTTCCATAAACAATGCACACTCTATACTTTAAAAGGCCTCTTCAGCAGTTCATTGTGCAAAACTTGTGAATTTACTTTTCACCATTCCCAGTAAAAGTTCACAAGCTGTGTCATAACAGGAAGAATGGGCAGATGGTCATAAACCAACACAACAGTTCTGCAATTCATGGAGCAAGGGTGGAGTTCCTGTTTTCCCGCACTGCCAACTTCAAGGTCTTACAAAAGGATATGGGACATTGAAACCAAATGAACCTTCATCGGATGACCTCACTCCTTTGGGAAAGGACCCACAGACACTTTTTTATAAAACATAGGATGCACACATTTGACCAAACTGCTGATTAATGAGTACTACATAGAGCGAGTTCTACCTAGTCCATCGATGTACTTTGGTGGGGGCACAGATGTCCATGACCTTGTCTTATTCTCCTTTATCAATTTTCTAATGCACTTACTCTGGTAACTGAACTGCCAAGGTTGAACAATCGTCCATTAAAACTAGGTGAGAGGAATTGAGAAAAGAAACATTTTCCAATGTCATATAACATGCATGTACTTTTCCTCAGGGAACAGGACTTTAAAAAGGATAATGCTAATGAACTGCAACTGGGGAATCTCAACTTATTGATCAAAGTGTTGAGCTTGTCCTGACACCAAACTTGGAACACAGGAAAAGTGTCTACCTAAATACACCACACAGTTTCCTTGCCATGGGTCACTCCACAGCAAGAAAATTGAGTTCCCTGCCAACTAAATGCAAAGAGCTACCAGGTGTTAAAAAAGCATCAGAAAAAGAAAAACTGTCCACCATGCTAGGGTCTTAATTGATATCCAGATTTTCAAAACATCACCTTAAAAAGTGATTGATGCTAGGTAAGCACCCAAGCTTCATATGACCCTTAACTCACATCCACTAAGAACAAATGACTCTATAGGCCTACACTGGGATTCACATTGTTGAGCAAATAAAAGAGTATTAGCAAATATGAAAAAGTATGAAAAAACAAGTATGAACAGATATTTAGTGTAAATGCGCAGAGCACTAACTCTTTGGACCCCAGCGTGAACAGCTGCAGGCAAAATGAACTGATCACACTGTTCTCATACGCTCATTCAGATGTGAAAAATATGTTGTTAGTAGATTTGTTGCTCAATATCAAAATTTATTTTAAAAACTGGAAATTGTTATATCAATAAATCTCAGAAGCTAATAGGCATTGGACCTGACATGTTTCAGGGGCAGCAGTCTTAAAGTTTAGCATGTATCAGAATATGACTAGGCCTACAAATCTGCCTTTTAACAAGCATTTCAGGTGAGGCAGGCATACTCTTGGATACCTGCGGTCTGGGGGGTCACATTCAGTTAATCAGCAGAGCACTTTTCAACATGAAGGAAATAACCACCCCCAAAGAAGGCAAACAGTAAAGCAAAATGTTTAAAAGAAAAAGAAAAATCTTCCAATAATCGAGCCCTGCTGCATCTAAGAAAAGGAAAATGAAAACAACTCATTTGGATGAGCACAGACATCAAGTGTGACGGAGAAACACTCAGTTGAGAATCGTGTCAAAAACAGTAACTTAATACAATTCAGATAATGACCCAAATGAGAAACAATCTATTATTTGTGTACATTCACAAGAGAAAAAAATGGTAGTAAAGACTAAGCTCTAAATAAGCTATGCTCCCACCATCACCAAAATAAAACATTTCTGAAAATCTCTTGTAAATCACCTCCACAGATTATCACACACTCTGGACACACTTTCCTATGTCAAAAAAAAAAAAAAAGTTCTCCATTCACAGGGAATCAAAACAACATCATACTATTCTAGAGACATATCTCCAACAAAAAACTATTCTACAAGGCTATCAATAATGACAACTTCAAATTCAGACATGTAGACCAACGCTCAATTTCTTTTTGCTCCAATAAGCTTCATTCATTTTCATTGGCAGGTTTGAGTTCTGCTTTTCAGAAAGTTCTAAAGAAATAACTCTAAGAAGTACATACACTGCTACTCAATAAAAAGCTCTTCTATGTTCAAATCCCATAACCAAAATTAATTCATTTGTGCACTATTACCCTTCCAGCTCAAAGACAGGAAGGAAAAACAACAGTGCCTCTGTCTCTAAAATTTGATGGCATCAATTATAGCCCAATCCAATTAAGCATGTCACACACTCCAAAAGGGCAACCTCATCATTATGTTCAGGGCAACCCGATTACAGTTCCTACTGCTGTGCTATGGAACACCCTGGGCTTAAAAGCAACTCACATCTTTGGGGAATGCAGAACAAACCACAAGTTCCAGAACACCACTCTCTCCCCCTAAAGGGAGACAGAGAGAGGTCCTGTCAGGGACAAACGAGTGTCCCTGGTAGAGCTGGCATGTATGAACCAAGTCATTATTAAGAAAATTCAGTAACTACAGACAGATGATCCTGTTACTGTATATGCATGTGAGTGTCCTAAAAAAAAAAAAAGACAGGTGATACTTTAATTTATAAGGAATTTTAATTTTATAAGACTTTCCCCCTGAATTATGCTTTTTTTTTTTTTTTCTTTTTCACCCTCTTCCTTCTGGCCCTCCGAAGAGTGAAAATCTGGAAACCAGCAAACTGGCTACAGAGAGATGAGAGAGAAAGGCGGAGTAGGGGAAAAGGGGGAGAAAGGAGGGAGAGAGAGAAAAAGGAAATTTATTGCAACAAGGGCATGTGTGTTCCTAACCTTGAAGGAGAGAAATTTTAGACGGCAAGGAGAGTGGCGAGTGGCACCCAATCTAAGTACCAAATCGCTCAGAGAGTTTTCAGAACGTGAACTTCTGTCCAAAAGACCAAAAGACCAAAGCGCTCTGAAAGATGTTAAACTGTTTTTACAATAAGAAGGTGTCTATTACTTGGAGACACCTTGGGAAGCTGTCACAGCCCCGGGTCCAAGGCCCCATTCCCCTTTCTCTCCGCGAGGAGAGTGGCATCCTGCACCAGGAAGAAGGAAAAGTTTCGCTCTCCCCTGGACCCCACCTCATACAATGGGTGTGTATAGATGAGCTCGAACCAAAAAGGAACATCCGACCATCAGCCCGGGGTCCCGGTTCGACTCCTACAGAGGCAGAGCTGAGCGCAGGGTGCCCTCCGGTCAAGCTGGCTCCTGGCTCCCAGACGGCTTCCTTCCCCGCGCTCAGCCGAGGATGGTGCGCGCAACCGGACAAGGTTTCACCGCCTGTTCCCGCCTGCGGGAGCACCTCCTGCCTGCCAGCCCGGGGCGCCTTCCCACTCCCGCCTCCCAAGAGCCCGAGGGTGTATAGGCTTCTGCAGGACACTCTCCAGCCCAGGTCCCTGTCGGAAAACAGTCGTGGAGATGGAACTAGGCTCAAGAGACTACCAACTTTCTGGGTAAACTTGGATCAGTCACTGGGCTTCAGTTTCCTCTTTGGTAAAGGAAAGAACACAGTGTCAAGCCACTTTCACCTCTCCAGCTCTATCAGTCCCGATGAGGTCCTGCTTCCTCATCCCTATCTCTCCGCCCGCACCCGATCTCTCCGTTTTCTCTCTAGGAAGTGGGCTCCTTACCCACAGAGGCAGCCCGAGTCTCCACGCAGAACCACAGAGCAAGGGCCAGCAGCGCCTTGCTCTCCATCCCGCACCTCGCGCCGGGCGCAATGCCCAGAAATCAGGCGCCCGTTCTCTTTCTGGTTCTGCTCCGCGAAAAAGGCGCGGAGATGGAACGTGCGCAGCCGCGCAGGGCTTCGGGGCGCTCAGGGCGAGGGTGCCCCAGCTCCCGCCGCGGCTGCAGGAGCGTCTGCGGTGCCAGTCGGAGAGGATGATTCCGGCTGCCGGACAGCTCCTGGCTTTCCGTGGCGCGCAAGTGATGCCTCGCGCGGGCAGAGGAAACGCTACCATACACCTCCGGCTTTCTCGGAGTCCCGGGACTCAGTGCTGGGTGGGAGCCAGAGCCGAAACTCTAGAGCGCGGGGGCGGGGCTATGCAGGGCGGGGCTTCCCTTCGAGACCAGCGCCGCCCCTCAGCCGGGAACGGTGCGTGGATCGCCGCTTTCCCACGCCCACTCCATCTCTGCATCTCCCCCACTTGCCCAAAACTGCGTCTGGCCCAGAGTGGCCCAAGGGAGAACGTCCCGGGTGCAACAGCCCCATATCTGGCAGAAAGAAAATGTAGCCCGCAGCGGGTTCTGAGGCACTCCAAGATTTAGTTGGCCACTGCCTCCCCCAGAACCCCGAAATATTGGGGAGCAACAGCGGGAGCGCGGCGAGGGAACACTGCGCCGTCAGGAGGCGCGCCAAAGTTTGGGACAGTCTTGGCTCCGCGCGCGCCCGAAGTGGCTGGGGGACGGGCCGAGGCTCAGCGGCAGGTTGAAGCAACCCGGGAGAATCGGATACTGAGTCGAGGCGAACGCAGGATCGCAACCTGGTGGTGACTCCAGCCAGACTCCAGAGTGTTTTGCTTGGCCAGCACGGTTGTAAAAATCTGAATCTGAATGCCTCTAGTCCGAATATTCACTTGCCCAGTTATCCAAAGTTCCCACTATTTCCTCTTACACCTGATGGCTTCGAACGTTCTTAAGTTACCTGTCTCGCCTTCTAAAGCATTTAAATCTGAGACCCTCCCCCTGTACCTACGTTTCACCAAAAACCTACCTCGGACCTCCCGGGAGCTGGAGGTACCCAGGGCTCTGGCGTACCTTGGGCGTGTGTGAGTGTCTCCTTGAAAAGGAGCTTTTGTCCACCGTGTGGCCTGAACAGGAGTCCCTAGCGTGACGCTTCTCGGGCCTTCTCAAGAGCACAGCTTCCAGGCAGGATCCCCTTAGGCGGAGGGGAAGGAGGCCGGCAGCGGCGGGCTTCACTGGAGGGGCAATGAAGCAAAGCTCCCGACCCTGGGCACCCAGAACGGTCTGTGCCAAACCTCTCGACCCTCTGGGCAGGTGTCGACTCCTCGTGGCTCTGTTAGAGAACTCGGATTCCTTTCTAACCACATGTATTCTCTTCTTTCCATTTCTCCCCAAACCTGGAAAGTGACAGCACCTGTCCTCTAACTTCAATAAATAGGATCTTCTAGATCCCTCCATCTCTTACTTTCCAGGAGCTTTTTCCTTTTTCCTATTTTTTCTAATTAAAAAATTTTTTTTTACAATATTGTGTTGGTTTCTGCCATACAACAATGCAAATCAGTCGCAATTATACATCCATTCCCTCCTTCCCTAGCCTCCCTCCCTCCCCCCATCACATCCCTCCAGGTCACAGGTCACAGAGCTAGGCTGGGTCCCCAGTGCTACACAGCAACTTCTCACTTCCCTGGTGCTTTTATTATTTTTTTTCCATTTATTTTTATTCATTGGAGGCTAATTACTTTACAATATTGTGGTGGTTTTTGCCATACACTGACGAATCAGCCATGGATTTACATGTGTTCCCCATCCCGATCCCCCCTCCCGCCTCCCTCTCCATCCCATCCCTCTGGATCTTCCCAGTGCACCACACACAACTTAAAGGACCATCTTTCAGGAAGATGGAGAGGTAGAAATATTTCATTTCTACATCTAATCCAAGCTCCTCCTCCTGAAATACACGATTAATGTAAAGTCTTCCTTTTCTTCTATTTTTTTTATGCTTACTATATCTGTGCTCAGTCATGTCCCTCTCTCTGCGACCCCAGGGACTGCAGCCCACCAGGCTCCTCTGTCCCTGGGGATTCTCCAGGCAAGAATACTGGAGTGGGTTGCCATGCCCTCCTCCAGGGGATCTTCCCAACCCAAGGATCCAACTGTCTGAACCACCAGGGAAGCCCTTACTGTATCTACTCTTCTACTTCGCCAGGTTGAAATACTTTAACTTTGAAATGTCATGCATGTATATGGTTAAAATTATTTTTCATATGGAAAGTTTCAGAATGAAGAGTCTTTCCTTCAGCAGAGGCAAGCATATTTTTGAAATTTTTATTTATTTATTTTTGGCAGCACTGGGTCTTGGTTGCTGAGTGTGGGCTTCCTCTAGTTGCGGTGAGCGGAGGGTAGAAAGACTGCTCTCAGTTGCCGTGTGCAGGTTCCTCATTGCCGTGGCTTCTCTTGTCGCAGAGCACAGGCTCTAGGGCACAAAGGTTGCAGTAGTTGTGGCACACAGGCTTAGTTGCTCCAGGCATGTGGGATCTTCTTGGCCCAAGGATTGAACCCCTGTCTCCTGCATTGGTAGGCGGATTCTTTACCACAGAGCCACCGGGAAGTCCCAGAGGCAAGCATTTTTACCTTTCCTATTTTTCCAAGCAAATAAAGGTATATCATGATCCTCCTTCCAAAGGGTAGCCTTGGTATAAATACCATTTGAGTATTGACTTTTTTCACTTTAAAAAAAAAACTTGGAGATCATTCTACATCAAGCCTTAGGGCTTCATCTTGTTCTTTTTCATAGTGGCATGGTGTTGCACTATATAAATACACTAATATTTAATCTAGGAGCTATTTGTCAGGGCCAGGGGTGTACTTAAAAGAAACTCTTCTCTTCCTGAAAGTAAACTTAGCAAGGAAAACAGGATGCACTCTGGCAAAGTTGGATAAGGGGGAGGGAGATGGAACCTGGTTTGGAGCAGGCAATTTTTCTCCATCTCCAAACAATTCTTCTCTCTCAACTTTATTTACAATTCGTGACACTTCCTCTTCCACGTCTCACTTTAGAAGATAGTGTCTCTTCTGAATGCAAACCAGAACCTGCAGGCCCATGGTAATAGCCCCCTTAGAAGTCTTAGAGGAAATGATGCGTCTTTGATGGCCACAAGACCAGAATTTGGCAGGGTCTCAATGAAATCAGTCTACCACATTCCCTCCCACACAGCACAAAGAAGTGCCTTGTGTTCATGAAAAATGACAAAGTCTGTTTTTTTCTTTTTTAAGTCTGTTCCACGTGCAATACCCTCCCATTATCTGGCACTGCTGCAAAGGAATGGTTTGTGAGTTAATCAGGCAGTAAGGTAAGATCACTACCTTTCGAAGTATGCAAGTGTGTTCAGCTTCCCATAAATGGTGTTCAAACATCTTTAGGAACCAAGAGTGGTGCTAAGTACACATGGGCTGCTGGATGCCTACCTCCCAGGTCTACCTCTCACTATTCATATGATCTTGACCAACTCACTGGTTGCATATCTAAGAAACTTAAAGATGATAATAGTACCTTTTGCCAAGGGTTTTTGCAGGAATTGAATGAGTTACTGTAATAAAGCATGACTTAACATCTAGTAAATACAAGCACCTAGCACATAATAAGCACCCAATGCCCATTAGAAAGCATTCTGCAAAGATTAATTACACTACAATGCCCAGTCTCTTTCATGTTGCTAAGATCTGAATGGTAAATCAGGCTTATTTCTTCAACAACAATTTCTCATCATATACTATGTGCTAGATACTACATGAGGAACTAGGGTACAGAAGGTAAAGATATAGACAACATGAACAGAAGTGAGCAGTCCACACTAGCTCCACCCAGGGCAAATTTAACTTAATCACAGTGTGTTCTGCATCTCCAGCTGTTTCATTGGGCTTTATGCACGAAGAATATAAATGGTTCATAGCACCAAAGCATAATGCATCAGTTACACTCCATGGGGCCAGCTTTGGTTCCGTCACCGCCAGTATTTTGGACTTTATGTCTTAGAAAGTATGAAGGCTAGCAAAAGATTAATAACTGTGGAAGCTGGATGATGAGTAAAAAGGTTCATTTTACTATTCTCTCTACATTTACACATTTAAAATCTTCCATTATTAAAAAAAATCAGTTTTAAGTAACTATAATCAAAGTATTGCCTGGTCTTGTATAATACCACTGACTCTTAAACAGTCAGTTATCTTGACATTACCTCTGGGAAAAGGTTGGAGAAGAGAAGCGGATGGATGGGAACTTGCACTTTTTAATTCATATATTTCTACAACATTCTGTCAAAATGAGAAAGTGTGACTTGTACAAACAAAATATATAAATCAAGATCAACTCTCTCTTCTAGCAGCTGTTGAATTTTTCAGCTATCGCCATTTGTTGATCACATATTTGCATGTCACTTGCCCCTGTTTACTTCACTTAATTTGTTTGCAACATTTGCTTTTGCTCTAACCTACCAGAGCCCTGACTACCTTGCCAGATGTTGGCTGGACTTCACAGCCCATTGTACTCATGACACTCATGCACTGGGAGATCACGAGCACCCTTTATCTCTCCTTATCCGTCTTCCTTACACACCCATGTGTATTTTACTCTCTATGTGACTTATTTTTAACTTAAATTTAAAACCTATTTGTATGTTCAAGGAAAAGAAGATGTTTACCACAAAGCCAGGCTTGCCTTGCATATTTCTATCAGTGTTTGGTTTCATTCATAAAGTCTTACATTTCGATAAATATATTGCAAACTCCCCATCCTTTTGGGGAGCTTGCAATATATTTATGAAACAGACTTCACTACTTGCCACCTGCATAGGAAAAATCTCAATTACTATAAATATGCATGTCTATGTGCCTTCCCCAAGCTCACCCATATAGTTTCTGGTTATATCACTCAAGGATCAATATAACAATTTTTTAAAGTGGAAAGCATGCAGAGAATTTAAATAATCAACTGAAAATCCATATGGCACCGGAGAAGGATGTTAGAAAATAATAATAGCAGCCAGCAGTCACTGTGTACAGTCTGTGAGCAGGCGCTGCTTCGGGTGCTTCACTGGTCGCTCACTTCATTGCTGTAACATCCCG